ACTGTTGTGGCCCCTCCCGTTGCGGAGCAACAGGCTCCGGACGCGCAGGCTCAGCGGCCATGGCTCACGGGGGCAGCCGCTCCGCGGCATGTGGGATCTTCCCGGACCGGGGCGCGAACCCGTGTCCCCTGCATCGGCAGGCGGACTCCCAACCACTGCGCCACCAGGGAAGCCCCATTATTAGTAGTTTTTTTTTTTTTTTTAAAAAAGCCTCTCCAGCCTTTGGGTAGAGAGGGCTTGTTACAGGTCTTAGATAAACTGGGATGAGTCTAGCATGTCTGCCTGGTCTGACTCTCTTGGGCTCTACCTAGACCCAAATCAGTCTTTGGGTGGAGAAAAAGAGGCAGATTTCATGTCCCTGACCGTAGACTCCCATTTCCTCTGTGAAGCTGGGTCAGCAGACAAGCTGGAAAACATACAGTGTCTTCAAGGAGCAGATGGATTGAAACATTAAAAATCTGTTTTGTTACAAGATTTTGACTAACAGAATAATTTAACCAGAAAAAAAAGCGCTCAAACTTTGTTCCTTCTTCAGTGATATTTATTTATTTTTAATTTTTAAAATTCTTTTTTTTTTTTGGCCACACTGCGCAGCTTGTGGGATCTCAGTTCCTTGACCAGGGATTGAACCTGGGCCATGGCAGTGAAAGCTGGGAATCCTAACCACTAGGCCACCGGGGAACTCCCATTCTTCAGTGATACAAGAATATCATTATTAATCACTCAGACTCTAATTTGGAATTTCTATACCGTTAATATTGATAAGAAGAATTGAATGAAAGTGAGAGAATGTCTTTTGTAGAAACTGGTTTTCTTGGTGGTCTTATCTTTGAGGTGGATGCAAATACTTTATTACTATTATGATATGTGTTATTACGTAGTACAGTATGCATTCAGCAGTTTTCTCTATCACGTTATAAAGAATTGTGTAATTGTGACATGTTTCCTAATGAATCACCTTTCCCACAGCAGTTTTTTTTTTCTTCTTTTTTTAAATAAATTATTTATTTATTTTTGGCTGCATTGGGTCTTCGCTGCGATGTGCGGGCTTCTCATTGCAGTGGCTTCTCTTGTTGCGGAGCACGGGCTCTAGGCAGGCGGTCTTCAGTAGCTGTGGCTCACGGGCTCTAGAGCGCAGGCTCAGTAGTTGTGGCGCATGGGCTTAGTTGCTCCGCGGCATGTGGGATCTTCCCGGACCAGGGTTCGAACCCATGTCCCCTGCCTTGGCAGGTGGATTCTTAACCACTGAGCCACCAGGGAAGCCCCAGTGCACTAATTTCTAATACACTTTGAAAAATTCTCCTTTGAGGAAAGAATGGGCTGTATCCTATCAGCATCTAGTAGTTATTAATTTTATCAGCAAGGATTTCTTTAACCCCCAATATTAATTCACCTATGTGTTTATTAACCATTCATTCTCCTGGACTGGACACTCACAAATAAGTCTCTGCTGGCCGAAGTGAGGCCCGTGGCATGAGTAGCACATTTTCCTCCGTTGTTAGACATACATGTGTAATGAATCAGTACAGGTTCTCCTAGTTCCAAATGTACTTGATTTTACACGAAGTAGGCCTTTTCATGGCTGGGCTTCCTTCAACGAGGTTATTTATTTGTAGTTCAGCAAAAAAGAAATATAAGGCTTAAAAGAGCTTTGCTACTTAGTGATAAATCTGTCCTTTCAAGGACCATGTAAAAGCAGGTGAATATGTTGAATAAAACTTTTAAAGTGTTCTTCTTTTGCCTTTAGACCTTAGCTGGATCTCCAAAATACAAGTGAATCAACCGGCAGTTCTGAGGCATGCAGAACAAATGCAGGCCCGCAGACCCGTGAAAAAGGAGTGGCAAGTAAGGGTTCTTCTTGAGAATTCTCTCCCTGTCGTTTACAGCCCTGGTCTCTTCCCTCAAGGCCACGAGATTGAATTTTGCTCAAGATGCATCTCAACTTAAAAGATTGCAGCTGTCCATGACTTATTTTCATAATTCATATATGATGATGATGGGTTGGAGAAAGATAACACATTTATCCAAACAAGTTAAAAATCTTATCACTCTTGAGTGGCAAAGCCACAAATGAATTTGAGGCATCTTTATTCATGAGTGAATTAAATGGCATATTTTGTCAATGTATTTATTCAGTTTCTTAGACGTACCTTCTTTGGTTGGCTTCTATTTTAATTTTAAAACCGTAACACCTAAACCTGGTGTGTCCGCCGTTGAGGCCCTGAGGTATGAGTTGACCTTCTTTGACCATCATGTTTACCATACTAATTAATTTTCCTAAATCATTTTTCAAAATTCGAAAAATGATGTTTCATAAAGTACTTGTGGTCAGCATATTCTTCAGTGTGTACCAACGAAAGATGTGCTGTGCATCTCAGGACTAAAAGGCATTCAGAGTTGATTTCACAAGTGATTGAATCCTTTAGGATGACAGGTCACATTTTGCTCATCCTTAGAAATAATCTGATTGAAAAGATAAAAGGAATTCATCAGAATGAGTTGTGAAATATGAATATTGTTTAAAAATTATAATTAGATTAAATTGAAAAAAAACACAAAAAACAAAGACGATGGAGACTCTTTTTACAGTGTCTCATTCCAGACCCCAGGCTGGAGGTAAAATGTACGATAGAAAGTCTTGTTCCCAAGTTCTCCCCTAGCGGGTGACCCTCTGAGGCTCCTTGTGAGTGAAATGGAAAAGTCACATGTGGGGAGACTTGATCTATTAGGGATTTCAATTTGGGTTACCTATGGGAGAAAAAACATTTATAAGCTATTTTCTCCCCTTTTATTTTATTCTATGTAACCTTCATCTTGTTGGTCACTCTTGAGCATGTATCAGAACATATGCCTTAGAACAGCATGGACAAGAGATTTTAGCACCCACATGTGCCTAATGGTTCTTTACTAACTAACTGGGTTGGAGATGAATTATTTTTTTAAACCTTGTTTTTAACTTTTCTTCAAACCAGGCTGCTTGGCTCCTGAAAGCTGTTACCTTTATAGATCTTACTACACTTTCAGGCGATGACACACCTTCCAACATTCAAAGACTCTGTTATAAAGCCAAGTATCCAATCCGGGAAGATCTCTTAAAAGCTTTAAATATGCACGATAAAGGTAACGTGTAGTCTGTCTGGTGTTTACCGTTTTTACAATAACAGTTACTAAATCTAAGAGGACTTAAGATTCAGCTGTTAAAATGATGGTAGCAATAAAATCCATGATAGAATTGTGTACATAGAGAAATAATTGAGATTCTTCTCTGAGAAACAGCAGAGGAAGAATCTGAGTCTCATTTTTAGGTCAGTTCTTTCCCATCATGGATTAAAGTTGCAAGTATTGAGTTTATTTTTCTTTCTAGTTCTTCAGTTTTGGAAGTTTTCTATCTAGTGACTCTCAAATACTGATTCTGATTCCCTAGCCACATATGAAAAAGCCAGTCTCATTACTTAATAATCACACCTCATACATAAAGTATTTTCTGTGAGTAAATGAAATGCTTTTGAGAATAAAATACAAATGGGATATATTGCAAGCTTGTATATTAGGTTAGATCTTTTGAAAAAAAGTTATACTCACTCTCTTCGTATACATGAAAGAAAAGACTTTCTAAAGTTGCCGTAAGTTTAGAACCTTAACATTTTAGAAATGGAGGAGATTTTAAGAGTCGATGCCCTTGTTTCTAAGTGAGGAAACTTGAGACCTGGAAGGCGAAATGATATTTCCAGGACAATGTGTGTTGTTACTCAATGGGCTTGTTTTAGGAATCAGATCTAAACCATGAAGGGATCCTTCATGGTTCCCAGGTGCCTGTCTATAATGAATGCAGCTAGAGATGCTGCATTGGCCCAATGCAGGTATTTTATCCCACATAGTTTGTAGATAACTTATAGACCTAAACAAACCTACAGCTTTTGAAAAGTAGTATTTTTCTTTTGAGTTGACAGTAAAACACCTACCATTTATACCACTTAAAAGCAACAGCTTTGTATGAGTTGTAGGTTATTGTTTTACAGTGGCTATTTGATTTTTCAATTTAAGATCTTATTCCTCAAAATGAGGGCTTCAGATCCAGATTTTATTATTTTCTCAAAAGAGGGAATAGAATTAGGTAAATGTCGTTTTGCTAAACAGGTGTAACTTGTTTTATTGCACTTTGCAGATACTGTGTGTTTTACAAATTGAAGGTTTGTGGCAGCCCTGCGTTGAGCAAGTTTATCGGCGCTGTTTTTCCAACTGCATTTGCTCACTTCATGTCTCTGTCACATTTTGATAATTCTTGCAGTATTTCAGACTCTTTTTTTTTTTTTTTTTTTTGCGGTACGCGGGCCTCTCACTGTTGTGGCCTCTCCCGTTGCGGAGCACAGGCTCCGGACGCGCAGGCTCAGTGGCCATGGCCCACGGGCCTAGCTGCTCCGCGGCATGTGGGATGTTCCCGGACCGGGGCACGAACCCGTGTCCCCTGCATCGGCAGGCGGACTCCCAACCACTGTGCCACCAGGGAAGCCCCTCAGACTTTTTCATCATTGTTGTATTTGTTATGGTGATCTGTGATCAGTGATGTTTGATGTTACCATTGTAATTCTTCGGCATTTTTTAGCAATAAAATATTTTTGAATTAAGGTATGTACTTGTTTTAGACATAATGCTATTTCACAGTTAATAGACTACGGTATAGTATAAACGTAACTTTTATATGCACTAGGAAACCAAAAAATTCCCGTGACTCACTTTATTGCGATATTCGATTTATTGCGGTGGTCTGGAACTGAACCCGCACTATCTCCAGGGTCTGCCTGTACTACCCTGTAAGGTTCACTTACATTTTTCTTCATCTGCTGTCCTGTTTGAATGCTGTAAAAACCTGGATTTTATTATCTGCATGAAATAAAACAGTTTCATTGGATCAAGGCCACCAAGTTTACTATTTAGGAATTTTTTTACAAATGGCACTATGTTAACCTCCAAGAACAATGTATCAAAAGTATTTTATTCCAGCGCTTGCTCTGGCAGCACACATACTAAAATTGGAACGATACAGAGGTTAGGATGGCCCCTGTGCAAGGATGACACGCCAATTCGTGAAGCGTTGCATATTTTTTTTAAAAAAAGAGTTAAACATAGAACATGGCACCATAAAACTAGAAGAGAGCATAGGCAAAATATTTTCTGACATAAATTGTACCAATGTTTTCTTAGGGCAGTCTCCCAAGGCAATAGAAATAAAAACAAAAATAGACAAATGGGACCTGATCAAACTTGCAGGCTTTTGCACAGCAAAAGAAACCATAGAAACAAAAACAACAACAACAACAAAAACAAAAAGACAAGCTATGGAATGAGAGAAAATATTTGCAAATGACGCAACAGACAAGGGCTTAATCTCCAAGATATACAAACAGCTCATATAACTCAACAACAGAAAAACAAACAACCCAATTGAAGAATGGGCAGAAGACCTTAATAGACATTTCTCCAAAGAAGACATACAGGTGGCCAGTAGGCACATGAAAAGATGCACACCGTCACTAATTATTAGAGAAATGCAAATCAGAACTACAATGAGGTTATCCCTCACACCGGTCAGAATGGCCTTCTTCAAAAAGTCTACACATAACAAATGCTAGAGAGAGTGTGGAGAAAAGGGAACCCTCCTACACTGTTGGTGGGAATGTAAGTTGGTGCAGCCACTATGGAAAACAGTGTGGAGGTTCCTCAGAAAACTAAAAATAGAATTACTGTATGATCCAGCAGTCCCACTCCTGGGCATATACCCAGACAAAACTATAATTCAAAAAGGTTCATGCATCCCTATGTTCATAGCAGCACTATTTACAATAACCAAAACATGGAAACAACCAAAATGTCCATTGACAGATGAATGGATAAAGAAGATGTGGTACATATATACAATGGAACACTACTCAGCCATAAAAAAGAACAAAATAATGCCATTTGCAGCAACATGGATGCAACTAGAGATTATCATTCTAAGTTAGAAAGACAAATATTACGCGACATCACTTATATGTGGAATCTAAAATATGGCACAGATGAACCTATCTACGAGACAGAAACAGACTCACAGACATAGAGCACAGACTGGTGGTTGCCAAGGGGGAGGGGATGGGGGAGGGAAGGATTGGGAGATTGGGAATAACAGATGTAAACTATTATATATAAGATGGATAAACAACAAGGTCCTACTTTATAACACAGGGAACTATATTTAATATCCTGTGATAAACCATAATGGAAAAGAATATTAAAAAAAAGAATGTCTAGATGTGTATAACTGAGTCACTTTGCTGTGCTGCAGAGATGGGCACAACGTTGTAAGTCAACTATACTTCAATTAAAAAATATAATAAAATTAAAAAATATATATATTTTATTCCGTTACGGTGATGATGAGAAAATGATCCACGTTGTCAGGAGCCAGAAGGGAATGTGGAAAGTAAAAACCTTTTCATTTGTTGCAGCGTCGTAGGGGAATTATTTTTTCTCTCATTTTGATTTCTGCCAATGTTGAAGTATAAATAATAATTAAAAGCACATTGTGTGACTTGAACTTCACATAAACTAGGCTGTTATGATTTCTTTCTTCATAGGCATTACTACAGCTGCCGTTTGTGTTTATCCTGCCCGGGTATGTGATGCAGTAAAAGCACTAAAGGCTGCAGGCTGTGACATCCCAGTGGCATCAGGTAAAATTTGTGGCTTCTGTTGTCGTTTAATCAACATGTTTCCCGTTCTTCAACTCAGACACTTTGGGGTAGTATCTCTGTAGTTTTATACTATGATTTTAATTAGTTTTATATATTTAATTGGTTGTATTTATCTATTATTTTCATATTTATTAATTGCCTGTTGAGTAGCAGACATTATATGTATTAATTCCTAAGAATATAGAACTGTATCTCTGTCCTTAAAGGAAACTTATCTGTTTAGGAGGAATAGTCAAGTTTAAAAAAAAATTGTAACACAGGACATGTACTATTATTTATATGTAAAATATAACGATAAAGATATGCAGAAGGTACAGTTGTAACCCCGAGTGGGTAGTGATTTATTCTGCAGAGGTTGACGACACTCAGTGGGTAGGGGGATGCTTCACAGAGGAGATAGTAAGACCCCTGCCTTGGGTCTTAAGGTTAAGGAAGAGTTTAGAGAGTTGATAAGCTAAGGAATGGCGTTTTAGACAGAGGAACTAGCACATGTGAAGGTGCAGAAGCACAGTTCAGGGAACTGAAATGGCTTTGTAATTGTAGGATCCTAAGGTAGGACAAAGGCAGAGCTTGGGAGTTGAAGCTGGAGAGGTAGATTGGGGTCAGATCCCATGGGGAGACCCAGGCCGTGGCATCTGGGTTTTATTTTGGTGACGGGGAAGATACCAAAAGATGTTAAGCAGAGACATACCATGATCCGCTTCATGACATAGTTAAGTTAGGGGATGGTCGTGGACAAATTATGGAGGGGTGAAATGGAGTTAGTTAGACTCATCACGGGCCACATGGGAGCTGATGAGAGCCACCCCCAAGCCTGAAAGATAAAGAAAAGAGAGTGTGTTCAAGAGTTTTTGACTTAAGATAGATGTAGGGACTTACCTGGTGGTCCAGTGCATAAGAATCTGCGCTCCCAATGCAGGGGGCCCAGGTTCGATCCCTGGTCAGGGAACTAGATCCCACATGCTGCAACACAGGCAGCAAAGATCTGGCACAGCCAAATAAATAAATATTAAAAAGAAAAAAAGATTACTGACTTAAGATAGATGGAGTAGGAGAACGAGGCGTGAGGGAGGGAAAAGTCTTACTAAAAGCTTCCCTGTATGTGTGTGTGTGTGTGTGTGTTTACATATGGATAGATACATATAAAATTAGATTCTCCTTTTAAAAAGTATTAGAGGAATATCCTGGTGCTTTAAAGAAGGAAGCTAAGAAAATCATTATTTTATTAGGGATACATCAAAAGAACCAGACTATACGGTATTTATATACAACCTATTTGTGAAGATTCCCAGAGTATTTGTTAGCTAGCTACACCTTTATCACCCTTCATTTTTCATTAGCCTCAGTCAGTTCAGCTTTTCCTTTATACAACAGGGAAACATGCTCTCCTCTAAGGTAACAGACCCAAGGAATTTAATAACATCAAGGAAACATGAAAGGTTATCTCTAGACACAGGAATGGAATTAATGATTAGCATGTTAAAAATGTTAATACTTTTTCCAAAGTGTCATTGTGTGTTTATTTTCCTTTTATTTATGCGTGGCCCTGCTCTTCCCAGTTTACCGCTGCCCCAGTTTTGTGGGCGAATTAGGTGCTTTTCCATCGTGCAACATCTCCCCTTTATTCTCATCTGCTTGGCTGTTCACTTTAAAATGGGCAGTGGGAGGAACCTATATTACAATTTGGTTACAACAGCTCTAAATGGGAATGAGTAAATCATGACAGTGATAGCCAACTTGGTCATGAGTAGGATCCAGAACTGACTAGTGTCCATCAAGACAGGGCTGTAGCTACTATCTTATGACTTTCACTTTGACGATGACATATCTTCTTAATTGCTATTTACTTAAAGCACCCCCATGAGCATCTCTGTAGCAACTTAATTTCAGGTCTTCCAAAGGATATAATACTAATATTTATCCTAACGTCAGTACTATATAAAGTTGCACTCAGTTTCTTTACACTTCACTTTGCAAGGTAGGCATGAAGTTCTGAAGTGTCATTCATGCTTTGGTCTAAATGCTAATTTTTTTGGTCTGAAATTCTTTGTTGAGATACTGACCAATTGAAATTTGTCTCCCTCCCTCCCTCTCTCCCTTCTTCCCTCTCTCCCTCCCTCCCTCACTACCTTCCTTCCTTTCTTTTTTTGTTTTCTTCTTTCTCTACTAGTGGCCACTGGCTTTCCAGCTGGGCAGACTCATTTAAAAACACGATTAGAAGAGATCAGATTGGCTGTGGAAGATGGAGCTTCAGAAATTGACGTGGTAATTAACAGAACCTTGGTGCTCACAGGCCAGTGGGAAGGTAAGCGCACACACATCCTTACCCAAGAGGGAGATTTGGTTCTTCCCTGGTCAGTCAGATGGCAAGGATCTGATAAGAGGCAGCATGGCGTGGAAGTCACTGTTCTAGATTACAAGTCCCTAGATCAGAGGGTGAATTAAGGAGAAAACTCGACCAAGATTGCTCATCCTGCCCACCTGCATGAACTTTTTAGATCCCTTTAGGTGATTAGTTATTTCCATGCAGTGGATTATTAACTTTTATTCTATTCTCTACTGTTTTGCTACTCAATACAAAAATCACTCCAGGCGAGTCTTTTATGCAGAGTTTATTTTAATATGATGGAGGAAGCTTCCCTTTTTTATGTTAATCTTTGTGGGTTTGGAGGATGTGGGATTATTAATTAGTCTGCTAAGTCTGTTTTTACTCCTGTTCTTGAACATAGCTCCTCTGGGTATTATTACGTATTCACCTTCGAGATTCATGATTTACTATCATGTCAGTTATAATAGGGCATTTCCCATTCCAGTAACAAGCTATTATTTTTTTGATGGAATTGATTTTACCTCTGCCTTAAATGTATTTTGTATACTTAGAGATTGTTGATAGCTAAAATAAGTACAATTCTGTATTTCAGAAAAATCATTGTAACAGGTAGTTTAAGTAAAAATTTTTAACACAGTCATAGAATTAAGCCAGAATAACGTGTTGTCTCTTTAGATATGTGAATATCAAATAATTGGCGTATTTTATTCTAATTACAAAGGTTATACCTTCTCACTGTTAAAAACAAAAGTTCTGACCAGTAATAAAGAAGTGGATGTTCTGCATAATCTCATCCTCTACAAATAACCCTTGATAACACTGCAGTGCACAACTCTGCAAACTTTTTTCTCTTCATATACACACATGCAACTCCCATCCTTCTGTTAAGTTTAAAATGAAAATTTTTAAAAAGTGAAAAAATTAAAATTAAAAATAGGACTATATTTAATGTATTTTTTCTTAACCTACCTATCGGTCTTGCCAATATCTCATGGATATCTGTGACTCTATCCATCAATCCATCTATCTCATCTTCTGTAAATT